ATATAAATAGTTTATTGGAGAATGATGTGAGTCGTCAATTCCTTGCGATAAGAATGTTTTGACTGTTTCAAGAATTATTGATGTTTATCTAATACGGGTATTTTATAAAGTGGTAAAACATACAATACAAGGAAACGCGTGGTGGCGGGTTTTTGATCGTTCGACCGTTGGCTAATTTTAAGCTATATTTCATATAAATATTTTGTTCACGGGAAAAAACCATGTCCGTGCGTACTTACATAAATTGGGGTCTGCAAATATGTAAGAATTTTTTTTTTTATGGAGAGATTCTGGGGGTACCTAACCTAACCCCCGTAAATACGCTACTGGGTCCAGTTATTATATTATTCTGGCAGTGGATTCATTTCTCTTACCGCTGACCGCTCAAATTTCAAGTACTGACCAAGTACATAAGGCCAAGGCCATAAGATAAGTAAATAAGTGATAACACAGAATACAGATAATATTCTTAACATTTGTTTGGCGATGGACCAATTCACTAATATAAAAGCTAATAACATACACGGTTGGTTCTGCTGAACGCAAATTTAATATGTTGCTCATGGGCGAGAGGGACAATTTGGGGAAAACTCTGAAAAGTGTACTGACTTCCTCTAACAAATAACCACGGTACATAAAATATAATATTATATAATTTACAGGGTATGCAAGTATGGCCAGTCAGACCGACCAATCTTAACATAGTAGTATAGTACTATAGTACTACTATTTGAGCTCGATATTTAAATATTTCATTCACCTTTTATACATAATATAATTATCATAAGTCAGGATATATCTTGATATCTACGGCAAGGCGAACAATGCCCAGCTCTCGAATCAAGGAAAACCAAATTGGTTTAATTTCTTTATATTTAATTTTAAAATTTTCACGACTTGCTTCAAAATTAAATCATCTGAAAATTGTACGTGGTGCTTTGTATTATATATTTATTTTTAAATTTGATAATAGGTTAGGTCTAATTGACCATTCACCAAGTGATGAAGTTAAAATACAACGATAATGTATGATTTAAATGATTTTATACTATACCTATTATTTATTACTTATTAGTATCTACCTAACTACCTAAAGCTCTAAAATATTGCCATCATTTGAGTTATTTTCTTAGGGTTAAAAAATTATATTATTTAAATAATTTGCTTTGATTTATAATTTTTTGTATTTCTTTTTAACGTATTCAAAACTCTAAAGACATTTTAAGAATTTAACATTTTATTAACTCAATGGTACCAAATTGTTGTTATTAATCAATTTTATTTTAAGGTATAAAGATATTGCAATATTAAAATGGAGAACTACCCGAAAGTTGAAGCTAACTATATATTAATAGCTAAGTTTTGACACTCGTATTATGTACACAGTATATGTATTGAAAATAATCATACGCAATAGTATATATTTATATTTTATGGATCTAAGGCTATTTCAATATAATTATAAAATATTTTACTTTTGGTTACCTGTGTCAACAAATGTCCTATAAATAGTAAATAAAATTGCATTAATTTTGTTACCATGCATATTCACTGATTATACTCGTTCAAAATAACTATCTAAAATTTAATTTTTAGTCTGTAAACTAGTAAACTACATATTTTAATCACCTATTTTTCTACTTTTTTTAAATCTACAGTCGTAGCGGCCCTACTATTTTTAAAAGGGAAGACCTGAGTTTTTATACCTACACGAGTGTCAACAATGTATACATCTAGGCAGCCAAATTATGTAAATCGAATGTAACTGTTACATATTATTTTATTTAGATCAGATTATTCTGTGACACGGTTATCGTTAGAAAAACTGTTTAGATTCTAGACTATCTTACAACTGTGTTTTGTAGCGAATATGATAACGCCACCTTGCTGGAGAGGTCAAAACATTTTCGTAGGATATAGTGTTCGAGAGGAATACTAGATTGCGCGAAATATATCTTTAATACAAAGATAGTAATTTATACTATGATTAAATTATTATATTTTATAACATATGACACCGGCGCATTGGATAGGCAATTTTGGTACAGAAATGCTTAGAAAACTATTTAGTGTAATATACGTAAGAAAAAGTATAATATTAATTAGTCTGTTCTTCATCTACTAATTAAAATTTATTATTTTCAGAAGTTGTTAGTTCATCTTTCAATAACTCATATAGAAGAAAGAACAGCCACGAAATCGAAACGATTTCGGGTATTTAGTTAACGAAAGTAGGCAAAAGATCAAATAAATCTTTTATGTATATAAAAAGTATTCGCCTCAGCGATGTTATTTTAGTACTTATTTTAGGTACTACTATGCAATTAAAAAATGTTTTTTTTTTCATAATTTTAATTAGATTTAGAGGAATATTTTTTTACTATTTATTGGATAGTCGATTAAAATGGTTTTATGATTATTACCTGTATACATTATATAGAAGATGGAATTAAAGAATATTCATTTTTTATATTCAATATATTTTCACTTCTCTAACAATAACATACTCCTCTCGTACTTACTTTTATAACTTCGGTAATAGTGCATTGTTTTTTTTGTTTTATGTTTTAACAGTTTTATAAAAAGTGCTTGCGTAGACCGGTATTGTTTTTCAGTCGGTCTGCCCAAAATTGTTTTTGAATGAGTAGTTAGTGTGATTTCTGTCTAAATACAAGGCCACCATTTTATGTTGTTCAGTCTCAAAACGGAAGTTTTTTTTAAATTTTATCGGCACGAAGGTTGTGTCGACAGTGCTATCTCATGCCGTCCAGTAATCTTAATTGGGGATAGCCGATGAGACCCGCTCCGTGCCGGACACGACATACATACCTCACGTACGCAGATAGTCTTTCACACTTCTTGATCTCATAAACCCCGGATGCTGAGTAATTATTATTTTGTCAATATGCCACCTAAACCAATTACTCCTATAGTTATACCACTACTACTTCAAATACAATCGTCACAAAGGCTAATTCATCCACACTCCCTTCTAATAGTGACTTAATGACAGTTCTTGAAACTATTCTTAATGGATTTTTATATGAATAAAAATTGTTTGTCCACTCAAACCTGTTAATTTAAGGAATTGAAAGTGACCCAAAAACACTATCTACTCAAATAATTTAATTGAAGGCTGAAAATACTAATTTACGCAGTGAAATTCGAAATTCTTAAAACTATATTCTTAAATAAAGATACGTCTTTGTAGGGTGCTGGTTAACCTAACCACAATTCATATGTAGTTTCTCAGGTATTACACGAAAGCTTTGAGTCAAACAGGTGCTCTTTAAACATAATTATCTATGCCGTACCTGAGTCCTCTTCATCTTCATCAACCCAGCGGATTTCTGATGATATTTCTGCTATTCGCGCCTTGCTCGAACCTCATAGCATCTATATTCCGGATAAGTAAAATGTTATACGTCTTGGTAAAGTCGATACTGGCAAAAATCGTTCACTCAATCTGTTAGCGGTAGCAGGGAGTTTGCTAGTAAATTGGTTTCCGACTTTAAAGCTTTGGAAAATGATGTTCAATTTTCTACGGGTTTCTGTAAAGTCAATGATAAAATGTTGCTTCAACATAATTTTAATGCGGTCCTGTCATGCTGTGCTTGAAAATCGGAAGCTGAATAGGAAAACAAATCTCGAGATTTCATACATTAACGGTGCACCTCAAATAGCCAAATAAAAAACTTAGGATTGGGAAGAGTTCAGGATCGTAGCCTAACCTAACCTGACCTGGAGTACGGTGACGGTAGCGGCCAAAGTTTTTAAAGAATTGTAAGGCCAAGGAGTGTTGGACATTCCCCATTTAGCTCACAATTATACCAATATCACTAACGTACCTAATTGACCTGCCTACTCTTGCTGAACGAAAAAGAATATTAAATATACAATTTATTCGTGGTTTAATAACTAACCCAATTATTTCCCATGTTTGCTCTTCCAAATAAACCTTTCAAGTCCTTTCACATGCATCTCGTTTTCAAAAAACCTTCCATATTCCTAGCATTAACATAAATTATTCACAAAATGGGCTCCAAAGACGTATGATGTCACTTGCCAATAAGGACCTTGCATTTGATGATAATTTGATTTAATGTACTGTTTAAAATACTGTAAATAAACTAATAATTATTTATATTTGATATAACTGTAATCTGTAATAACTTAATGTACTGTTTTTATTTTACATCTGTTGTTGTATCACATATAATATTTAAGTTATTTAAAGCCCTACTATTACGCTCATTGTTGTACTGTTACTATAATGTAAAAGGGAAACCCGTATATTTTTAGCATGATAGAAATAAGTTATTTCTATCATGATTTTTAGTAAATAAATATTCGATTAAATACAAATATCAAAATCTGTATATTTTAAACACTGTGTATCCGTATAAACATATAAAAATTCAATATTTATATAAAATAAAAAATATTATACACAACATAATAATCACATATTTACTTCATAATCATACGGTTAACAATTAACAAAAGATACAATGTAATTAAAAATATGTGTAAAATGTAATAAAATGTAACCTTATAAAAATAAAATAATTCATAACATTAAGAGGACGCCACACCCGCATGCGTTGTCTCCGTCTTACAAACGAGTAACATACCAAATTTACGCTCATCAGTTCAAGTTGTATGCCGTTAGCTTAGAAATTAGAGTGAATTAACCTATTATGAAACTTGATGGTGAGAACTTTATCCGTGTTTTGTTGGAAGTTTTTTTACAATAATTCAGTTTTTAAGTGAGTTATGAGTATTTTTAATTTACATTTATTATACAAGCATACCTTGCTTAAAAACTGAAGTATCGTAAAAAAAACTTCCAACAAAACACGGATAAAGTTCTTACCATCAAGTTTCATAATAGGTTAATTCACTCTAATTTTTAAGCTAACGGCATACAACTTGAACTGCTGAGCGTAAATTTGGTATGTTACTCGTTTGTAAGACGGAGACAACGCATGCGGGTGTGGCGTCCTCTTAAGCCAAAATTATAAACTAAGCTTATCTAGTAAATTCTTAATATGCATAATAAAATGTATATTGAGTTATATTACATAATAATGAAAACATATAAAGTAAAGTACAGATTAATTAAATCTTCATATTTATTTCTGCCCTATCTATTATTGCTTCTACTATATTTGAAATTTTTCCTGGAAAATATGATTCTATACTAAAAGAAGCAATTGTTATCTCTTAATATCATTGATCATAATAATTAGACCCATAAATAAAATAATAAAAGCCATAAAGAGTTAACAAAAATCAATAATTATAATAAATTATATTATGATAAGTTAGTGATGTAGATGAAATCTGCATTGTGAATAAAGTATGGCACGGTCTTAGATTATTCATGTTTTGTCACAAAACATTAATAATTGATTACACATATTTCATCAAAATAAAACAATTTGTAAAATTAGTCGAGTAAACTATGTTAATTTTATAACTTAAATAATATGTATATTGTATAAAAAAAATTTAACTTTCTAATTTGTATAAGCTATATTTAATATCAGGTACATAAATAATAAAATATTAAATTTAATGAAAGAATAGATAATTTTGACATCCATAGGTTCTGCTCTCTTTTTTTATCTATTAAACTATATTTTATGATTTTTCGGGTGAATTTTTTTTAGTTTTTTTCTGAGAAAATCATTTATTACAGATAGAACAAATAAATTGTTTACGAACATTGTTGTGTTTATTTAAACAACAATTCTTTCGGAAAATATTTATTACTGATAATGCAATTAAATTAGTTTTCTCTCATATGATTCTGAATGTGACATTTTAAGTTCCATTTCCTCAAAAACGATTTTTTACAAATATCACATTGCCATCTATGAATATTATTGTGTTTTTTTAAATTTGATTTATGAGAAAATGATCTATCACAAAGTAAACATTTATATGGTTTTTCTCCCGTATGAATTCTAACATGTCTTTCCATGTCTTGTTTACGTAAACATGATTTTTTACAAACATTGCATTTAAAAGGCATTTCACCGGTATGAATCCTTTCATGTTTTTTGAGTTCATGTCTCTGTGAAAATGATTTATTACAAACGTTACATTTATATGGTTTTTTAGCATTTGGATTTAATGGATCATCGGGTTTATGAATCACTTTATGTCTGTTTAAATTTGATACATCAGAAAATGATTTCTTACAAATTAAGCATTTGTAAGGTTTTTCTCCTGTATGAATCCTAATGTGTTTTTTGATACTATGTTTCTGAAAAAATGATTTATTACATATAGCACAAATAAATGGTTTATGAGTTCTATGTATAATTTTGTGTTTACATAAATATGATAATTGAGCAAAAGATTTAAAACAAATATGACATCTGTATGGTTTTAATTTATCATAGCCGGGTTCATGAATCATTCTATGCCTATTAAATGTTGATGCAAGAGAAAACATTTTATTACAAATAGCACATTTGTATACTTTATTTTTCTTATGAAGCTTCACATGTTTTTGCAAGGATCTTTTTTTCAATAATTTTCCACAAATATCACATTTATATTTGTTTTCATCTAAATGAGTCTTACGGTGTTTATTGAGGTATACTTGCTTTAAATATGATTTGCTACAAAAATCACATTTATATGGTTTTTCACTTGAATGAATATTTAAGTGTCTTACGATGTTTACTCGCCGAAAAAATAATTTATTACAAGTATTGCATTTGTATGTTTTTTCCTCATTTTTTTTTAACGATATCAATTTGCATTTAGTTGTAGTTAATGCTTTAGTGTTAGTATTGGAATTTTTAGGATTGTTTTCAATGTGTAACTTGTCAATTGTCTTAGACGTAATTGATGACACATCAATATATTCTAACTTTACATAACTTTCAAATATATTATCGCCAATTACATCTACTTCAGTTTTTATGTCGCCTTCTAGATTCTTTATTGTAAATGTAGAATTTTGTGTGTCACTGAAACAACAATTCATACAGAACATTTTAAAATTTATATGGTTTAACTAACTAACAGCTAATATAAAGAAATAACAATAATATTATGATTAAAATTAATAATATTAATTGTTAGCTGAACTTGCCCTTTAACACTAAGTAAGAGAATAAAATAGTAAAATGACAATTGAAATGAAAAAACGATTATAACTAACCTATTAATAAATATTTATGGACTTTTTTTTTGGTTTTGTTTTATATAAGTACTCTATTGTATTGTGTAATTTGTGTTTAAGAGTTTAATTTGTTATTCTTTAATTCTGTATTACCTATATACATTTATGTTCCTAATTGGGTCCTACTTTTTTAAGAAATACTGGTTTCATATCAATGAAAATACCAAGCACAGTATTGTTATAATGTTATATGCTTATAGCTTAAGTATTTAAAGATAGTCAACAAAAAATGAAGGTACAATATTAAAATAAAAAAACAATATTGATGATTAGGAAGGTGTCTCTATGAAGCTAGTATTGTAATACTTACCATTGATAAGTTGTTTGACAATCATTAGCATCAATATGTTCTTGTTTGATGTATTTATTTAGAATTATATTTTGTGGCACACATAGTTCAGGTGAAATCTTGGACATTTTTGGACTTACAACTTCCCGAACATATCTAAAGAAAAAATTTTAAATTGAAAAATGTAGAACACATTGATCATCATGTTTGAAATTGTAGGGGGACTAGAATAATCCAATGTAAAGTGACTTGCATCAGCTACACCCACACAATTATAGGTATATTGTAATACTTATAGTGCTAATAAGAACATGATTAAACTAAAATTAATGACACTAAATAATAATATAAATATATATTATACATATTAAATAAAGAACATAAAATAATAATAATAATTATTGCTTTTGTTGGCGATTTAAGTACCATCTGTGAGTTGAATATTTTATAATTTTTAAATAATAGGATAATAGATAATTATTATAACTAATAACGATAGTAAAAATTCAGAACATATGAAAAAGTTTTTTTTTTTGTGGGCGGCGGCCATTGAAATGTCTGCCCCAAAATGCCCACCTATGGTTATCGTATGCAATCCAAATGTGACACTAATTGTTATAACATTTATTCAAAATTAGTTTTATTTAGCAACAAATTAACAAAAGAACATTCTAAGAAACTTCAACTATAAAGGAAAAGAAACAATTAGATACCTAGATAGAATGTTTGAAATTTACTATCATAGTTCATAATTAATATTTATACAACTGATAATCATGGCTATAAAGGGAAAAAATTTCAGAGGGAATGACTAATCAGTGCCACAACTAGTAGGGGGGACCAGGGGTGCCCAGCATTACTAGGGGGTCTCAGTTTAGAATAAATTGGAGCATAGAAATATATAGAATCCTTGAGGGTAAATTTGAAAGACGAAATGCCGAAATATCAAATGTTATATGTAGAGTAATGATAATGATGTTTGTCATTGTATTTAGGAGCCCTTAACCTGGTTAATTGTTTATAGACTATGTGTTGCAACTTGTTAAAATATGCCAATACGTCTTGTTATTGTGGCAACTATAAATAGTATTATTAGGACAGTTATTATCGGCCTAATACTGGAAGTGGTATACATAGACTATAAGGGTCAGGCCCGAGTTAGAATTGTAATTTAGATATTAACAGACGTGGGGCCAAAGGATGTGATGTTGCTTCAGTAATGAGTGGTGGTTACACAGGGGATCAAAAAAGAATTTCTGACATAATTTTAAATCCATCATAATATGTTTATTGTGCTGCAAATAATTTGAATCTTGTTTGAAAAATGTTAATTTTTTTGCAACATTCTTCGATATATATTTTTATTTTCTAGAATAAAGTTCTCTTAGATGGGCTTCCTTTACCCTAGGTGATGATGTAGCAAAAATAGTCTTTAACAATCATATTCAAATCAGAAATCACAAGGTAACAAAAATAAGTTGAGTTTAAAAGGCTGGTTCTGTTGGCCATGTAGGACCATTTATTTATATTTACATAAATAAAGCATTTATATAATTACTAACCACAGTAGCAGAGGCATAACGATTTTTGCATCAAGGCTCCACAAAATTTAGTGGTGGCACTGGAACTTATGTCTTCATATATCTTTAAGCCTTCCATACATAATTGTATGTATAATGTCTAATGTATGAGCAATGTATTTAAACAGTGTATGTGAAAGTAGTCAGTATTTGTGAGTAGTAATACTCATCCCACTTTTAACCCTGAATATTCAAATTTGTAATTTATTCTATGTAAAATTTATATCACAAATAATTTTACATTTTTAAAGGAGACTGAGTCCCCCTGTGCCTCCCTTAAAACTAATCTTAAATCTTGTAACAGATTTTTAGAAAGCAAACAAAACGAGTACCTAAATTCCTATTGAAAATATATATATGGAAAATATTTTTATATTAAAAATATATAGATTATTATGTGCTTGAATTGGTTGTAGTAATGAATAATGATAATATAAACAATTACAGTAATAAGTAACTTATTACAATAATACAGTCGAGGGCTTTAAATTATGTGGAATCAAATTAAATTCCTATATTATCCTCACCAAATTTATTGAATAATAAAATATACATAAGTGGCTTAGCGGTGACTCAGCCAATGGAAATCAAATATTTTTTAGTAAATTTTAATGCTTGTCATTGGTTACAGATTAGCACAATATAAAAGTATTATAAGTGCCATAGAGAAAACACTATGCTAGTGTATTACTACAATTCATATAAACAAAACTTCATTTTTAAAAAACATACATAACTATTTCAGATATTTCATCCAACGATAATGGATATTTCTTCCTTGGTTAAATTATCACAATATTATTATTTATATTATGTATTTATTTAATATAATATGAATGAATATTAATACAATAAATATAATAGTATAGTATTGTTAGTAAAATGTACCAATATAAAATAAATACAAAAGTCACATGTGTTTGTGATTATTTTTTTTATTTTTTTAATAATGTAGTAATTTGTTTCAGTCAAAATTATTGCATGGAATATTTAATTTATTATCTTTAGATACTGTAGATGTAAATCTGAACTGCCATGGAAGTTAAAATTTTTTAATGAATTTGTTACACTTTAATTTTATGGCCTCGATAAACAGATATATTTGGATGAGGATTTCTACGTAGAGATTGAATCAGTCGTTAGGTTAAATTACAAACCTCGTGCAAGAAACAAAAGCAAGCGGATAAACTTGAAGAAACCGACTGATTATATTATATAGGTAATGTTCCAAATTTGTTATGAACTGAAATCTAAGAAAGACAAACAAGTAATATCCTATGAACTTAAATGCAATATGGATAAAATGTATTAACACCTTATACCTATAGGAAGTACATATACTATTATTATTATTATTCTACATACCAAGAGTGGGCAACTTGATGGTTTGGGTACCTTTTTATCTGATCCTTGCTACATTTTTAGATTACTCCATACAATCTTAACATTTATCTGTATTTATAAATTACACTGTTCTTAGATAATAAATTCGTAAAATAATCCTGTGGCAGTAGAAATTAAAAAGCAAGATGATACACTTATTTTAGAATTATGTGAGTTGCAAACAAATCTATTTTTATTTACAAAAGAAATTCATGAGTGTTTTTGGAAAAAATTACCAGTTGAAAAATATACACTTTTACGATGTTTTAATGATTTTCTATTTTTGCGTTAAACATTGGAGCTCTAGTAACTTTGAGTTGTCCATACCAGCTATATACTTTACAGCACTACTCATTGTTGGTGCAAGGTGGCGATATGTCCATATGCTATACACTATTATACCAACAATATTTGGTTAGGTAGGTACTTACAAGTGTGTTAATATATAGTTTGTGCCCAGTGGGACTGTGGAGTACTGTGTAACTAATAAGTAACTAAAATTTTAAAACCGTCACACTGTTAGGTTAGGTAACTGTTTACGAATGTCGAATATGCCTTCGATGGTGTCTGAGAGTAGTCTGTGATAGTTCGATGGGTCATGTATAAACACCACTAAGTATGTAAGGATAATTAAATTGTAATCTGTTCAAACACTTTGATCATGTGTTATAATCAATAGACTAGTAAATAATAACAAAAAACACTTCTTTTCGTATACTACGGTCAACGATCATTGGTACGGAAATAACGATATGCCACGTAAACATAGCAAAACTAAGATAAACAACCAAGGCCAACTGTTGTTACACACTTGTTACACACTTTCACCTACACGTGACCGTCACGTTACGATAATATTATCACAGAACAATCATATGATATACCTTATCTATAGTCCATGTTCTGTGATACCACGGCTTAAGATAATATACTATTATAGTATATTATAATAAATATATATATTTTAAACCGTGACGTAGACCTATTAACTGAAGAAGTTAAAAGCACGGCTATAGCTGATATTATATACTAGTATTATGCCGGGTTGCATACAAAATGTATTCATTTAATGGCTCAATAAAATGTAACGAACCAATTAATAGCGATGTGTATTTAAATCATGTTAAAGTGACCATTAACTCATTTGATTGGTCATAGATGGATACACTCCTTAAACATAATAATATATAAATAATAAGCCTGACTACTCGTGCTTACTTCAAAGTATAAGGTCTATGCATCAAAATTGAAAATACAGAATTCGATTGCGTTAACCTAGACATTATAAGCAACTTGTTTATATAATATGTATAAATTATAGCCATAACTCTGCAACGTTATCAATACATACTGATAAAATGATAAAGCAGCTATTGAACAGTGTTACCATAGAATAGAATGAATCTAAGTTTTATTAAAAACCAACAATATTTATCAATGCATTACACCCGCCATTGTTGAGTTTCAAAAACCATTAATAAACCTTGATGAAAAAATGTAATCTCAATTTATTTTGAATGGTAAATATCTTAAAAAAAATAAATATCAAAGAATGTTTTTATTGTCACCTAACAAGGTACAGTTACTAGTTTTTATTATGTTTTTAAAGTAAAATAAAATATATAAATATGAAAAACATTATATTATTTCTAAACACTTTTAAAAAATTATATAACGTTAACTATATTAATATGTTAAAAATTATTATAATATTTTATTTTACTATAATATATTAGAAAGTTGTTTTTATTGAAGATATTATTTACAGGAGATATTTTAACGCTCTATAGTTCTATTATGTCAATGATTTCAATACGTATAGCAGAGTTACAAAAAAAAATTACAAGTGTCAATAAGAAATTAATAACATGATAATATGTAAACATTTAATTTTAGTAAAATTGGATTTAATTTATTGAATGGAAAGTTTTTTTAACAGCACAATGATTAATTCAGTTGAATCAAGAGTGATAAGAACCGTAGACATTTCAAATCCTCATCAGCGTTCATACATTAGGTACAAACATGCACTTGCATAAAATTCAGGGCTCTACTAATAATATTCCATATATGATAAATGGCACAATATTGGCACATTATATAATAGCAAGTAGTAACTATCACATAATTTGAATTGCATGTACCTTTTGAACCGTACGTCCGTACAGCGTAACTGCTTAGCATTTTATATTTTACACAATATAGAACAATATAATACCCTGGAATTCTCTCATCATAAATTTCTAGCGGAACGTACATATAGTTAATAGGTAGTTATTTTATTGTTATTATTTATTTATTTTTTTTATAATTAGTACGTCCGTGGTTATTAGTAAAAAAGATTAAATAATAGGGTTTTAGTCTGAGTTATCATTTTTATATCTTATCAAATTATTATTTGAACATTGATAACGATTATTAAACAATCACAACTTGATTCTCGGTTAATAATGTTAAAATAAACAATAATATTTATTTTTATATATTTTACTATGAATTATTAATACCTCTTGAAAGTTTCTTACCGACATCCTTCAAAGTGTTATTCAGTATTGAGCCTTCAGTGTTCACATCCCCCTTAAAATATATTGATATTACATTATCGGAAATGCGAAATTGAATCCAACTTACCATTAATTAGTATGATATAAAAGTAAACCGTAAATTATGTCTTACAGTAAAAGATTTTCAATCGACGATGCTTTCGAAGATGAACCAATTGATGATATAAAAGTGTATGTGTCTAGTTTAGGAAACTCACCTTTACAATCTCCTGGACAAACCAAATTAACTAATTACGGTGGTATTGAAAATGAATCTATTTCAAGAACAAAAAAATTTGAAGATGTGAGTATTGCATATTATTATTCACTCCATATTTCTTTTTTATAAAAATTAAACTTTAAAAACCTATATATTTACCGTCTAGGCATTATCTCGGGACAGTGATTCGTTGATTTATAATTCAACAGCGAATTCCAACCAAAAGAATTGGTGTTGGCACCATCCTCAAGTACGAGAGAATTGGCGTGTGGTTTTAGCTGCTGCCATTTTATTCTTCATTGGAACTGGTAATTATCTATTTAGTTCATTGTGTTCTCAAAATGAATTATGGATGGGAATATATTGATAGTAGAAATCAATATAATCCATATTTAATAGTGTTAGGATTTCAATATTTATATTTCTTATCTGACCAAATTACTAAAGTACTAAACTGTAAAAATATCATCATAGAATTGGTAAGTTACAGACTCTATTCATCAACAATATTATAATTAGTATTTAGTTAGCAAAAAAAGAAAATAACTTTTTGTATATTATTTTAATGTGATAACTATGATTTAATTATTTTACTTTATTTAATCATTTATTGTACAAACAGTTTTAACAATTTTAAGTTAAAATGTATAATGTTACATAATAAATTCAACTATAAATAAATATCAAAGTGGAATTATAAATTTATGTATAATATTCAATATACTTTATACATAAATAAATAAGCCATTATGTTTTAACTCTATGAATGTATATTCTCTATAATTTATATTTATATACACTAATATATTATAGATATACTGTGCAAACTTAAAATTAGGATAATATTTTGATTTAATGCCCGTGAATGAAGTAAATCATCTTTCAAAACTTATCTATTATGAATGTTCACAGTATTATTATCCGTGGCTATTATTGTGCAGTTGACTCCAAACACAGATTATCATCCAATAGTATTTTTCATCGCTGGCTTCATATGTTTTATACCCGGAGCATACCATGTTGTGTATATATATCTAGCTGCTAGGGGACATCCAGGTTACAGTTTTTATAGTTTATCTTTATTCAACTGAGTGTTGTGAATAATCTTGGCGAGAACAAAGTAACATGTAGTAAATGTATTATCTATTTATGTGTAAGATATTATGAAGACAATGTTACGACCAGTGGCATAATTTATTGTGCATGCCTTCAGTCCCTGAAATGTATGCTGAATTTTATGAAACAGGGAAAATGTATTTTCAGGGCCTTTGAGTTTGATCTGATGTTGGGATGTGTATTAGATGTTTTGTAATAGTAAGAAAGTATTCTTTCCTTGATTCACACTTTATATTATATCATTAGTTATTACTGTGGTTCTTAACCTCCTTATGTCCTTTACATGTTTTCTATTTCATATTTTGAAGGAACATAACAAAAAATATATAATATTTATCATTTTTATTTCTCTTACTGTATATTTTGACAAAATATAACAAAAAATCAATACTATTTAAAAATTAAAAGTTATAATTCAATGTAATTTTATAGTATAAGGATTAATAGATGACAATGCTACTCTTCTCCTTCTAGTAAAAAGCATTTCTCTTTTGTGTTAATGTTTGAAAGTAAGGAAAACCCTTTTTAAAAGCATACTAAATAAGAAATTGCAACAAAACTATCAACACATTTTTTTGATATTCTTCTTCGATTGATATCCAAAATTCTTCAAGCTATATTTCTGGACATTTAAATTTAAGACCATAATCAGCATAAATAAATTTCATATATATGGTTTTGAGTAATTAATTCCTCAACTTTATAAGAACGCAATTTGTGTTTATAGGATACTGTAACTTTTTTCTCATAATATTTTACTTTGATTGCGGATCCGTCACTCACGAGTTGTTTAATATAATTCTGATCTTATGATTTAAGATGGCCATAGTTTGTACTTAAATGCTGTTTTAATTTACTTGGGACCATCGAAACATCGAAAGTTTTTTATCACACACAACATTCAATGGATTCATTTAAGGGTTTGTGGCTCAATCAATTGTATTTAGACAGTTAACACCATCATTAACATTTTTATCTTCAATTGTACATTTTAATAATGCATCTATCCATTTTATTACTAAACACTGTTTTCCATACCAATTTACTTTAAAACAACATTGATAACTAATAATTTGAATGTTATATTTGTTACCTTGGTTTTTTAGTGGTAAGTTTCAATGCATATAATAATCATTACTAACAACAAAAACTAAAAACACTATTTTGCTGCAGAATACTGGTTGAGAACCACAGTATTATTAGATCAATATGGAATTCAATAAAATGTGATCCATAATTTGTGTGTTATTCAAATGAAACGTGTCTAAAACGGAATTGCATGGGACCAAAGTAGTAATGGGTATTTATTTTCTGATGAAAAATAACTGAACTAAATCCGAAAACATTTTTTTGTTGTATAATGTCTTATCCCAATATTTCGATGGCACTATTTACTGTACACATTTAAATAACGTTTGTTATTATTTCGCAGAATAAACCTTTTCACTAATATTTATAACTATTATAATGCAGAGTCCACACAAAGTCCACTTTTTGTTTTTAAAAACAATTAAATTGTCCCGTCTATTTTGGAAAAAGTTGAGTTTATGTTATGTTTTTTTTCTTTTCCTGTGTGGATCTGGCATAATGTTCTTCTGATTTACTGATATGATGTTATCTTTCTGCATTGTAGAGAAGTTATGTTATCCCAAATTTATTTAGGTACATTCTACTTTTAACGTTCTTATAACACTAGGACCAAAAATAATTCCATCTTTGACAATTTTCTATTTAATTTAAATTCTAGAGTATTTTTATTTTTGAATAGAGCTAGATCGTGCCAAAAATTAACACAGTCCATGGTTAAAATATTTATTTATTTATTTATTAATTGAAATACGGGACGTGCCCAATTACAAGAATCAAAAATACATAACATAAAATAGGAAATTTACATAAATTACAAGAATACAAATACAATTAGGATAAAGAGCAAATAGACATAATACCATAACAACTATGAACGTTGCATAAATTACAAAATACAATTAAAATATAAAAAAAAAAAAATAGAACAACAGATAATAATTTATTGCCAAACATTCAGGAATAGTGGGTCCTCATTCGCTAATTTCGTCATACGAGCTATAGGACGATTTACTAAATAGTTACAGCGGCTAACAGGAATTTGGAAAGGGAAGGAGTATCTGGAGTAAAAACTTGGAACTCTGAAATTTAATTTAGATAGGAGAGCAGGGGAATCCACTTCACCATTTATTAGTTTAGTGAGGAACGTAAGATTAGCCTGTTTCCTCCTGTCACATAGGGTAGACAAATGGAGGCGCTGTAATACAGGTTGATACTCATGGGGTTGACATTCAATACGTAATGCAAAAGCAGCAAACTTCAAAAATTTACGTTGAACTCTTTCTAGTTGTTTACTACCATCAAGTGTGCATGGATCCCAAATAATTACTCCATACTCCAACACAGATCGAACAAAAAATATTATAAGTATTATTTATTTTAACTCATCTAGTAATTTTAGTTTATATGTATAAAAAAAATATTTAACTAAGTAATATGGTAATAATTAAAAACACCAACAATAATGTGAGTTTCAGCTCTTTAATTATGTAATTTTAATTGCTAATGTGAAAAAAAAATCAAAAGTGTATTATAGAAAATAATATTTTACAGGTTATAATGAAAAACAATTTTATTCATAATAATCATTATTTTTAATTTTTTTTAATAAAAAATAATAAAACTGAGGTTGTGATAAACCATAGAAAATTTTCCAACATTAAATATCAATATGCAGAAATTAATTTAAATTATTGATTTGATCAAAACTAATTTTTCAGTTAGGTATGAGAAAATAAATTATCATAAAAAATATATTTTAATAAAGAAAATAAACTTTTTAATTTTCGGCCAATAACCATTGATATCTTCATCATATATTATAATATACTAATCACTGTGTAAGTAATAAAATACTTTTTATGACATATTAATTGTACTGTTCTGGAAAATAATGAAAACAATGTCTTATTCTTTCTTTTCTTTCTTATGTGTTGTGATTTTTTATTTGTCATTTGATTAACAATATTTTTTTAAAATTTATTTTCTTTAACTGATCCTTTGTCTTTCTTAGCTACCTATTTATTATATAAGTATCATATTTACTAGTACTAAGTATATTACTCCCTACTACTTCTAGTCTATAGAATATAACATCATTTTACGTTGACATTTTTATTATACTAGTACCACTATATTTCAAGATCTTATAACTATAAAATCATTTAGAAAAGGCTAAAATAATATTATTATTATTTTGTATACATATTATGTTTATAACTAGTTCTATAATTGTATAGTGTTATTTTTAAACTATTATTTGTTATTATTATTTATGATTAGGGCTCAGGTGTCATCGTTTTTATTTAATTATCTTTAACATTATTTTTTTTTTATAAATAAAATCAAAAAATGTGTAATAACAAATTTATTTATATGTAAAATTAATTCTTTTTCTATATATTATTTTAATTTTTACTTTGAATTTGATAATATTAAATGTATATTAACTATAAATCAAAATAATGTAAGATATTAAGCTACGACCAATATTGATAAAATAGACTTAGCTTACCAAATTTTTAATCATATTTCCGTAATATTATATTTATATTTCATTGATTACAATATTATTACGAACTATAGATATTGTTTTAAGTAAAACAGATAGATAATTTACTGTATTAATAAAACTATGATCAACATTAGTTTTAGTTATCATTAGGTAGTTATTTAAAAATAAAATATTTCTGAAATTAATAAAATAAAAAAACTCTAATTAGGTAAGTATTATTTATTAGCAAAGTTATGAAATTTCACTAACTCTAATGTTGTTTAATGTGAACTATTTGTGTAGATAAATGTTGTGTTTTGATAGTGCTCTATTTAAGTTAACAATGAAGTATGTTTAACTGCGTTACCTATTAACTATTAGAAAATTGATCTAGTCTATGTCACTCCAAACTTAATTATGTTTTTGTTTTGTTTTTTGTATTTTTTATTGTGTAATAAATATTGTTTTAAATAATTTGTTATTTTCTTTCTGTTTTGCTCAAAAATAATTTGTATCCTAAATATTATATTAATAATTATGGCTGTAATAAAATGTCTCAAGACACTTAAAATCATTAAATCTATACTAGAATAGCTTTTTTCATTGGTGCCCCTTAGGAGGAATCCCGGATAAAAATCCCCGGAAAAAAAATCCCCAAAGCAACTATTTAGTATTAAAGTTATAATAATAAAAATAATAATATTATCTTTATACCTATATTATTAATTAATATATATCATTAATATATGCAACAAATATGCATTTACAAAATTTATATTTAAAAATTCAAAGTTGTACTAAGTATATGAAAAAAGAAATGGGCTTTGCTACGAAATACCTTAAGGATGAAGAATTTCAAAAACAATGTGGAATGATTGATGCACTTGCATTCCTTCCATTGCACCTCGTAGAAGATGGAATGAAATATTTAAAATATAGTTTGCCTGAAAATCTTATGGATTTATTAGATTATTTTGATTCGTATTATGTAAATGGTAAGTATCGAAGAATTGGAAACGACGAAAATAACATGAGGTTTCGAAAACTGCCACCAATGTTCCCACCAGCTGTGTGGAATGTAAATAAAACCACCCTCAATGACTGCCACAGAACCAACAACATCGTTGAAGGGTGGAATAATAGGTTTTCCAAACTAGTTGGTCAAAAACATCCTACAATTTGGAAACTTATTAGGAAAATTAAAAATGAAATTGACGCCGATCGAGTACAGTCAGCATTGGATGCTTTGGGTGAACCTAGGCGTACAAAAAGAGGACAAAATCAAACAATAAATATCCGCTTGAAAGAGTTAGTTATAAGACAAAGTGAAGATAAATTAAGCATTGGAGACTTTTTGACAGCTGTGTAACAATATAAGAAAACGAACCGACTGAACCGAATCTGACTTAATTAACTAACTAATATTATATTATTTATTATTTATTTTTTTTTTTTTACTAACTAATATACTAATTAGGTATATTATTATAATTATGTAATTTTTTTAATAGTTACTTTGGGGATTTTTTTCCGAGGATTTTTTTTCCGATTACGCTTAGGAGGTATCTACTTGCCATCTGGGGCTTTCAAGCATACCTTAATTTAAGCTTCCCCCCCCCACCCCAGAAAGTTAATTAAAAAACAACTGTATATCAAGTACTATCAAAGTATTATAATAGCAATGTTTTAAAATAATCTGACCTAACCTACTAAGAACTTTTATAAATTATTTAATTAAATGAAAGACAAAATTGTCACTTCGTCATAGAAAGCTCTGGATATTTATATTGCAAAATTATTCTTTAGACAATTTGAACAAAGTTTAAATGTACATATATCCATGAATTATTATTAATAAAATATTGGCTAAATTATATAGATTTCTAAAGAATTTACTATTTAGATAATATTATGCAAGGCATTATTAATTAGTAATTCAGTAATAAAATATATCATGATTCTAATTACTAATAAGTAGGTACCTATCAAATATTTAATATGATGATGTACCACATATTGCCTTGCACCAGGGTATCAATGATATTATGGTGCAAACCAATTGCGATAAAAAAAAAATAAAAAATCCGGTCTATAAAACAAATTGGGGGTTTATTGACAATTTACAATCTGTACATTATATACAATAAGTAAACATGATATGGAATAATACAATAAATTACTTTGAGTAACGTGTAGGAAGGCTCTCAGTCGAGTCACCTTTTACAATGAAATAATTTTTTATGAGTAATATAAATGTATTTTATAGGTTAAGAAGATCTCTCACCGTTTGCGATTCCTACTTGGTATACAATTTTTGAAAAATAATTAATTTAAAAATAAATCCAATAATTATAATTTATAATTACCACGGTTTATGGATAAAAGAGATATAGATCAAATACTTCTACGAAAATAATATATATATTATATTATTATGTAATAATAATTTCTATTGAAGTTGAAGGTGTAATATTGAAATACTGGTACCAACTTACAACGAGACTATTTGTTTATTTTATAAGGTTAGTATATTTTAGCATATTAATACTAATTGGAACCTTAATTGTGCATGGCATTGTTTTTCCTTCTACGCCTAATTATATATATTGCCGTAATGGACTGTTTATGCTTTGGACTTTTCCCCTAAATATTTCTAATAAGGCTATATTTTTACACCGGACTTTTTACCAGAGCAGTATCGCTAAATGTCTAGAATTACCACAATCCCATGAATCGCAATTCTAAACAATTTAAAATTTAAAACAAGCAATTCTGTAATCCACGATCTATTGGGATATTAGGATATTAAATTATTATCAACGAATTTTCGCGTACCGGCATGATTTGATAATATTATCAAATACGAATACCCATATTATCAATGATAATAGAATCTATCCGCCACAATATTAATTTTAATAATAATAACATTTCTAATAGTATTTAGTATTTTCCTTCATAATTTATTACTACGAATGAAAGTTGAAAGTATTTGTAAGATTTATGATGTTAAAATATTTGTTTTGAGGTCATGTCATCAGTTTGTCCTTTTAATGTTATGGTCATTGTCATGACTGATCAATCATAAAACTCACAAATGTATTTACTCTTTAATAATAATATAAAACCGGTACTGTATGAGTATATTAAATATACTAAATTTACATCATACTTTCAATAAAAAAAGGTAATTAACCAATGTTTAAAAAAGTAGGAAGTTTTGTTTTTACATGTTTTAAATATTTTTGTGTTGCTCATTGTGTAACAGAACATGTAGCAGATGTATTCTTAGTAAGTAGTTACTTATTTACCTACCTACCTTACCTTAGATAATATTTTAAGCCCCTAACCTAACTTGCCAAATTTTTATTGGAAAATCTTAGTGTTCAGGTGATTCCATGGAACCGTCTATCCACTCTGGTGATTTGGTAATTATTCAACGTTTCTCAAAGATGTTCAAAAATGTAGATAAAGGGGATGTAATTATTGCAAAGTCGCCTGAAGAATATAATAAATTCATTTTGAAGAGAGTGAAAGCTGTTGACGGCCAAATGGTTAGAAGAGGAATAAATTATCAAGTGGTAGGATTATAAAAACTGTTATTGGTATTATTGGAGCCTTTCTTTTGGAACCTATAAAAACTGATGTGTTTGTTAAATTCAAATCATTTTCAGTTTTAATTTAAGTTGACTTTGATTTGTGCATTATACATTCATTCGTTTAAATTTTACATTTCATCAATATTGATAATATGGATATTATTTAATTTTAGCTCTTTCCTTTTGTACTCGAAGTTATTTTTTTGTTTTTAACTATGTCCTATCTAGTTTGAACTTCCTAATTTTTCATTTTCCGTATACCTGCCTGTTAATTGTTAAGATTTTTCTTTGAGATAAACCCTGGGCATAATTGTTCTAATTCTCAAAATATTATTTATCCACTTTTTTGGTGGACTATGTCTAGATATAGAACAATTGGACAGTATACACTATACATACCTAAACCATCAGCTTTAAACCAACTTAAGTATGAACTTTATTACTAATAATTGATTTTTGTATAGGTTCCAAAAGGATCAGTATGGTTGGAAGGTGATAATCATACAAATTCAACAGATTCTTGGGATTTTGGTCCTGTACCTAAAGGATTAATACATGGACGTGTTGTTTGTCGAATTTGGCCTTTATCAAATTTCTCATTGAAAATTTGATGAAATGGCTAATGTAGTAGATAGAAAGCACAAATAAAAGTTGTGATTGTTGATTATTTTTATTTGTATAGTATCATACATTAGATTTTAAGGTTCTTTTATTCTCATTTAGATCTTATTTAAAAAGTATAACTATCATTATACTGTCTATACTAGTTTGCTCAACAAGGAGATATGTTTTTAAGATATCTTTAAAAAAAATTTATTATTAATACTTATAAATAATATGTACATTTAAAAAAAATCTACTTATAAGGGTTGGTAAATTAATTAAAAAAAAAAAAAAAAACAACTCATATAGCTCATAAGGCTACTTTAGTATAGTGACTACAGTATTCAACAAAGTACATTAATAGAATAAAAGTAAGTAATAAATTTAAAGTCTTAAAAAGTTACGAGTAATGGAGTTGTTAAAAAACCTTTTTTTTAATTTAACACACATTACTCTTAGTTCAATTGAGAAAATCGGCTTTTTTATTAGCCACTTATACTATAAACTAGTCCATTATGCGATTGCAAATTTTGTTCATCATCAATTTGCCGTTTTATAGTTACATGATAACTATGATTGTCCATTCGAATGCTACAGTCATCGTTTTGCATGTTTTTACTACTCGACATACTCATTCTCTTCAGTGATCCTGAATGAAAACGGCCACCTTCTCCTCTTATACGATTCATTGCATGTTTGTGGCGTGATTCATACAGATATTTCTAAAATAAAAATGTTTGATTACATACAGATATTTCTAAAATAAAAATGTTTGATTACATATAATATAACATACATAAACCATTATATTGAAGTTTTATAAATATTGCTTACTTGGCGGGTTTTAGGTATCTTTCCTTCTGCCTCTAATTTTGCTCGTGCTTGCCTTCTTTTCAGTATTCTTTTGTACTGTTTAGCATTTACATACAAAGGCTCTTCTTCAAGGAACTCGGCTGTTGTGGGTACTCGTTGAAATTGATTATTATTGGGGGCATTTCCATTTGGCACCATCTGCAATACAATATATAATATTTCAATCCCGGATTTCAGAAAATGGTTTTTCCTCCCTATTTTAAACTGACAAGTAAGGATCTGTTTAAGGGGCTCGATGCCAATTTTTATATTTTTGACTCACTCTCAAGTATAATACTTTTCTACTAATATAATGCCTGATACTTATTTAGGGGAGGTCAATTCAGTAATATATCAACAAAATCGACTAAACAAGAGAAATTCTCAGGCCTTGTAGAATTGTCTGATTTCGATTCAAATAAAATGTATGGAAGTTGAGGAACAACATTTTTGAAAAATAGCTTGATAGATCTCAAGTAGACATTATTCTGTAGGACTGGATCATTATTCCGGGAGTATGGTTTTGTGGACAAAGCCATGTAAGTTAGGGACACTAAAACCAGACTTAGTTGTTGAAAATTATCCTTTCAATAGGTGGCTGACTTTATGTATCTTAAACAGGAATGTTGGAAAACATTGAATACAAGAAAAGAATTAGTTTGATACAGAAAGTCATATATAATTACATACTTCATCATCAAAATACTTTTAATGGGCTGGCCACATAAACAGATCCAGTGAAATAAAAAACGGCGTTATAGGGAATACAAACGGAAAGAAGTTAAGAGGCCGGCCAAAACAATGTTGGATAGATCAAAAAGCTGAATAAGTGTGGTTTCAACTGTTTCAAGGAATGAGAATAAAAAACATTGAAGATGGTGAAAAGTATAGTGGAGGCAGCAAAGGTTCTTAATGGACCAAAGAACATAAAAAGATTTGATTAAATCAAATTTGAGTATCAATATTACCATAACAATGTTCTGTTGATTATGAGGAACTCCTTGTGCAACAGAATTAGCTGTTTGAGTGACGGTTGGAGAACCGGCAGTTGGTGGATTGGATAACTGCATGATATTTCCATTTATGCTAATTACTGAAAATATGGTAATAGTTACAATTATTGTTACTTTTAAATACCATAATACTATACACAAAGTGAAACATACATGTTGGTTGGGTTTGTTGTTGGGCAATCGATTGACCGTTGTCAACTTGAACAGGCTGATAAATAAACGTTTGTCCATCAGGTGTCTGTATCAACTGTGCTTGCGCCTGATGCTGGATAAAGAACCATTATATAGATAAACATTTACACTGTTAATGCAAAGAAGAGAAGCAAAAAGACAATGTGTGCATACTTGTACAGGTAGTTGAAGTAGTTGCAGCGGTTGGTTGCCCGGCGAACCTAAGTGCACTGACTGACCGCCATTTTGGGGCACGGCATGCACTACGATCTGCTGACCGTTAGCGCTCTGTATCACCTGGCCAGCCTGGACGACTTGAACCTGATTGTTGGACGTCGGGATCGCTTGGACGACGGTCATGTGTCCGTCTGAGCCGATCTGTTGGTCCATGATTGATGGGTTTTACTGAAAACGGTACAGTTATAATCAGGATCATAATACTTAGCTTAACGACGGGAATACGGGACACAAAAATTTATAGTGCTGGTAAGTGAAGGTGGTGGGTTAAGGAGGAGTGGTGAGATCACGGGGCAACCGGAAGCGAGACAAGACGACTGTTCCCGTAACAAACCATCGATACGAGCGATGGCCGCTGTAATCAATGCCGTCATTGCACTCGGGTCCGGGGCTCCCCTGTTGAGGTCAAAGCACAAAACGAAGATTCCGGGAGTTAGCGCGCGCATTTTGAAAAGTATAGAAAGTTTAGTGCGAATTTCAAGGCGAACTTACATTGGACAGCGGGATATTGGTCCGGAGATTATTCCAACGATTGGCCGAAAAACTCGTCACCAATGAGAGTATGAGACAGCGCGCAAACGTCAGACAGCAACCACGAATTGGCCCTTCGCCGTCGACCAGCCAATCCACAACACAGTAAGTGGAAACAGTGACGCCACAAACCCAGAACGAAAAAACGGGCCACAAACCTAATAAGCAACACTGTCGTCTATCAATTCAATCCACGGCTTAAGAAATTTCTTTTCGATTGAGGTCGTGATTCAATCATTCATATTTCATAAAGACAACGTTCTTTTTTATCCAAGTTTAGTATTTATATCATATTAAAATTTAAAGTATATAAGATAGACGATCTTCTATAGCATTCAGAAGGACTTTCAACTTTTGAATGTGGGTCTTTTTCACATAATTTGTATCAACGCTCACCATAATTTTATATTACGGAATAGACAATAATAGCACAGATTATATTAAACTTAACTATATTTAACTAATTTTTTAAAATATAATCTGTGATAATAGTATCTATCACGAACTAAGATAATAATATGTAACTAGATGCATCTTATTTCATGTCTTCATGATATCTAAATATTTTCTACCATTTGTAATTATTATTTGCAAAATAAATAAATATATATGTAATGCATAAATAAATAAACTTATTATTTTGTTGTTTAATTTGTCAGGTCAAATAAAATAGTAAATAGTTTCATAAGTTTGGTTTATAGTTGGAAATCATTGTAACTGGATTTTTTCACAAACAAAGAAACAATATATAGTAGTCCAATGTTCCATTGATGCCAATTTAATTCACAATAATTTTCATAAAAGCACAAATCTTAATCCTAATTACCACTTTACTCGAAAAATTAAAGAAAATGTATGATTTTTAAATTGTATTTATCTCTTAGTTCTAAAATAAAGATATTAATGTAGATGTTAACGATAAATGTTTAGTAGTCGTAATGTAGACCAAATATTCATTATTTAAACACAACATGAATTGTACATACATTAAAAAGAAATAATTCAAAAGACATTACATTCATTAAAGTACAATGTCAACATGCAATAAAATACATTTCAGAGAAGTTATGATTTATTTCTATTATATATGAAAAATAGAATCATTTTTTTAATAATTTTGTCAACTTAAATTAAATTTTTTAACTTTATCATAGTTTTAACAAAAACATTTTTATACTTTAAAAATATTTATGTAATAAAGAATTGTTGTCATATAGTGTTTTTCAAAATGTTATTTCAGGATGTGCTGGAAGAGTATTTTTATTTAAATCCTTGAAATAAATATGTTGAAGTGCATCTCGAGCATTTATGCGTTTACTTGGGTCATAGATCAACATTTTCTATAAGAGGAAATGAATAAATAAGTTCAATATAAATCTAATTAATTTAATGTTATAATTAATTTACTTGAAGTAAGCTTAATCCCACATTGTTAAGGTTCTTGACAGATTTCTGTAATATATTTTCATTCCATGTTGGGAATGAAGGTTTGTAGTCCTTTAATTCTGAAACACCAGGCCATGTTTTTTCATTTGGTGTGGTCAAAATCCTAAAATAAACAAAAATTGGTAGAAACTTTTATAATGCATCATCATTTAAAATAAAATATAGTTAATTTAATAACAAGTTGTTAATTTTATGAGAATGAACAACTTAAGTTGCTTAAGTAAATAACTAGTTTAGAAAATTAAAATCTAAAGTATTAAAACTAAATATTTCAAATTTTCACTGTTAAAAAATCTGACAGGATATAGAAAGCTAATATTCAATCTTTTTCTTAGAAAAAAATTGTAAAAAATAAGATTTACAGCATTTTTATACAATTTTATGTGTATGAACACATATGGTACATTTTATATACCTGTCTTTATGGCTACAAATTATTTATTATTTTAATTTTAATTTTGATCTATTGACTTAATTTTTTTATCATTACAGTAGCCTCATTAATCTAGACTTGATCTGTCTGAACACCGTTTGAATGACTAAAGGTCCTGATTAAATTAAATCAGCTTTAAAACACTTGTAAATATGTTTCAGACATGTAAAACAGTTTAAAATAGTTCTAACACTTAAAATAACCATTAACATAGTTTGTTTACAAATTGTTTAAAACTAAAAATAAAGTTTAAGCGAAATTACAATAGGTTTGAAAATTAAATGCCGGTCCCAGTGAACCAGACGTCTAGATAAGCAAAACTGAAACATGGATAACACTATAAAATATTAATAGGTAAAGCCAATACAATCATTTATAACTCATTATTTTAAATTGGATTTTACTCATTAGTAGCACACTAAGGTAGGAGAATATGAGAAAATACTTATTTTCCACCAGCTCTTGCCCGCCACTATTAAGTCGAATCCAAATTAAAATAATTGTTGACACCAATATTGAGTGTTACTTATCTTTAATGTCATTTAAATATTTAATCTATGGCTAAAGTTATAGTTGTATAGAAGTTGTACCCACATTATATTTACCACAGAAAATTCCTCACCTTACTAATGCATGATATATCAAAATGTACATACAGTAGTTCTAATTTTGTAGTTTGTAACATAAATATTAGAGTGAATTGACCTATTATCAAACTTAAATGTAAGAATATTATCTGTGTTCTCTTGATGGGTTTTAACAATATTTTAATTTTTAAGTACATATGTATAATATTAATTTTTGAAAATGAACATAATTCACTTATAAAATTAAAATATTGTTAAAACTAGCAAGAGAACACGGATAATATTCTTACATTTAAGATTAATATGTTAATTCACTCTAATATTTAAGCTAACCACATGAAATTGGAACTGCTGGACGTACATTTAAATATATAATGCGTTAGTAAGACAGAGATAACACATGCAGATACGACGCCTTATTAAGGTAACATTAAATATATGTTTGAATTAGTTTCAATTTATTTTTGTTTCTATGTTATAATTTATTTGACATTATTATACTGAAGTTGGTTTTTACTCATAATTTATGATGAACATTTAATTAAATGATAATAAAGTGATCTGGTTAGTAAGAGAATCATAGACTTATGAGGTAGGTAATCATTTAATAATTAAATCTAAAATCTAATATTAATCTAATATATTATATTTGTATAAACAGAAAGTATTTAGCATACACTAAAATATTTTTGATAAACTGAATACTTTTAAAAATAATAAAAAGCAAATGTGAATAAAAGATTCCTTAAAAAAATTAATTTGAAGTGTTCAATAAGTATTAAAAAGTAAGAATTGCACATGCCTAAAAATATGAAAAAGTTGATCAATTTCTGAATCTCCTTGAAACAAAGGTTTTCCAGAAGCCATTTCTGCAAATATACATGCTATGGACCACATATCAATTGGGCAGCCATAGCGTTGAGTATTTAATAACACTTCAGGAGCTCGGTACCACAATGTTACTACCTAATAAAGAGATTAAAAATATTACTTTAACAAAATTGTACAACTCAAAACTTAAGTGTTGTATAAATACCTCATGTGTGTAGACTCGAATTGGCAAACCAAAAGTACGACCCAAACCAAAATCCGCAACTTTTAATATATTATTTTTTATATCAATTAATATATTTTGCGGTTTTAAGTCTCTATGCAATATTCGCCTTACATGACAATAATATATAGCCACTAACAACTAAAATATAAAAGTGCACAACAATCTTGTTAAGTTTTAGTAACATACAATAATGTTCATAGGCATGTCTCAAAATGTACCTGATAAGCAAAAGATTTAGTAAGAACTTCATCTAAGTGTTTTTTCGGCCTAGAGTCAATGAATTTTTTTAAGTCCATGGGAACAAATTCAAATACTAGATATAACCGTATGTCATCCATAAGTATTTCCCTTAAGCTAAATAAACCTGATTAATTAAATATGTGCATGTAAAAAGTAAAAATGAATCATAATTACTTCACAATATTTGGATGGTTAAGTTCTTTCAATATACTTATTTCTCTAATAGCAGTAGACGGTAAACCTTCATCTTCCATTTCCATACGTATTTTCTTTACTGCAACAATTTCTTTTGAGGAACGTTCCATACATTTGTACACAACTCCATAAGTTCCTTCACCAATTTTTTCTAATTTATCATAAGCATCCATAGTAACAGTTCTAAAAGAGTAAATCAAAATAAACCAAAAATATAATTAAATATCCAAGATTATCCTGAAAGTATGTTTTGTTTAGTACTAGAAAGCATTCAAAAAAAATTATAATGTTTATTTTTGTTGAAAAGAACAAAAAAATTAAGAAGTAGCTTAGTGTTTGAAATAGAAAATTTTATCAAAGGGATTTGCCTAAGGCAATCTTTTGCTATGACCTAGAAATACATAAATTAAGGTTCCTTTGCCCCTTATGACAACTATAAGTTAAACATGTGTACCTATTTTATGTTCTTCTAAATCTTTTTGTTTAAATACAGTGAAACCTCTGAATAGCGGACACTCTCGGTCGCCGAAATTTTGTCCACTATTTAGAGGAAAACATTTTTTTCAATAAATAAATAAATTTAATAATTTTATTTTATATTATTTTTACATTAATTAAATACACGATAAAAATAAAAACTACCTAACATTTCTGAAAAAAATTTGTTACTTTAGTTTGTTTACTAATTGCAGGCGTAATTATTTTGTGTGTTAAGGCATTTTTTAATTGGACTGTGTTTGAGTACAATGAACTATTCTGTATCTTGATCGAAGAAATATATTTACGTATGCATTTTACTGCTAGCAATGCTAAAGTGTTCGTATATTGGCATCATAAACACAACTAAACGCACATAGGACAATGCATTAGTTACAATATTTCATTGACACGATAAAGTGACTGAACGGAAAAGATAAGGTTTTTATTCAGGTAATCCAAAATAATTCTTAATTTAAGATAAAAATTATTAATATCATTGTCATAAAAGTGTCCGTTATTTAGAGTGTCCTGTATTTAGAGCTTTTCTTATACATCAACAGTGAAAATGTCCCCGACCCCGAAAAAACGTCCGCTATTTGGAGGTGTCCGTTAAGAGAGGTTTCGCTGTACATATTTTACTTGTTTTTATTGGCAGACGGAACTTCATATTCAACATAATTTACTACAAAAAATATTTTTTTATTATCTGTTATAGTAAAAAACATAAAATTATCAAGATACATTTTCAGTTTTTAATTTGATCTGTAATTTTTGGTCTAATACTCCAATGCAAATGATAACTCACTTTAAAATTGGCCAAATGAAAAGAAAATGGGATTCTGTACGAATATTTTTGTTTGCGACCTACAAAGGATGTATATTTAAATGGTAGCCAAAAAAAAAAACCAATATTATTATAAAAACAAATGTTTTAGTTATATTTATTCAAAAAATTAAAATAACTAACAAATTATTTTATATTTTGCATAGTATAATATAGCTTAATATACCTTGTAGTAAAATTGTATTATTGACAAAATAATAATGATTTTAAACAGTGTCGGCCTGGCATGTCAAAGGCCCCAGCCACAGTTTTCCAGTGGGGTTTCTATTTTTTCTTCATAAACTATGCCTAGGGTAGTGAGTTAGTGTTTATACGCTTCCTCCTCTTTCTCCTTCCACCCAACACCAATCGAACTGTTAGTGAGTTATATTTTTTAAGATAACTAATGTCTAATGGTTTATGTCAGAATTCAAAGTTTAATAAATGTGTTTGCAATAAATAAAAACTAAAATACAATTGAAATAAAAATCTTCTGACCTTGCTCTGCAGAGGGCAAAAATAGTCCCCAGGGGGCCTGCTTATAAACTAACAAGAAAAATCTCAAGGCCTCAGTCGCATTTTTAGCTCTTTGGCCGCAGCCAGACTGACACTGATCTTAAATATCCAATAAATTTAACATTTAAAATTACATAGTTACCAAATTTATTTTATTTTAGTTTAACTCCTGAGCGAATGACTTAAATATGAAGTATAAAATCAAAATCAAATAAATTATAAATCCTATAATCCATGCAAAGAAAATCATTTTATTTTAACACCATTTGAAAAAGATATAGTACTGGAAAACTAGTACTTGCAGTAGGTACCTAACTATAATAATTATAAAAACTAAAAATCTCATCTAACCAAATGCAATATTACTATTCATAATATTATGGGGATAATTTTTGCACAGGTTAGTTTCATTTTACATATTTTGTCTAGAGAGTACAAGATAAAGGTTATTTAAAGTTATTTAAAGTCTAATTTAACTTACCGGGGCATAAAATATTTTAATATTGTTGTAGGTACACTTACCAGTGTTGATAAAAAATCTAAAAACATTAACACAAAACTTTAACAACTACAGGTGTGCGAATAGTTATATAGCACGGATTAATATTATTATTTTAAGTCTACAATGTCGAGAAGACGAGAAAGAAGAAATTATTTTACAGTCCCGCGTTCGAACATAATTTCTACCAGTGACTCGGCGTCGGGATAATTTGACGCAGAACCTAAGTTAGGTTACCTAACTAACATCCTACTATCTTCGCATTTGTGACGATCATTGACTATAGAGGATTAGAGGAATAACCGATTATTGAAATAACAACAAATTATTATTGTACCTATATAATAGTGCTACAAATTGCTTACAGGCTACAATACATAGGTATTGCCTATTTGCCTACATTATAGGGACCAGCTTTGAACAGTTGGAACACTTATGTATATATATGAGACTGAATTAAAAACACCGCACAATAGTTGAACGGCTAAATTCTCAGTGCAGCCAGAAAAAAATAAACCATAATTTAATATTAACAGAACATTTTTATTTTTCCAAAACATTGACGTACTATCACCGAAATAGATATAAATATACTGGAGCGCGGATAAGGCCGTTAAAAACGACTAACGAGTCGTAGCGTGTTGACTGTTGAACGTATGTATTACTATAAATGTTAAATAAAAACATTGGAACATGTTTATGTTTAATATCACCGTTTTGTTCTTTGCATTCCTTAATTTTTTATTTAATCTTTCTAGTTTCTACATAAATTTCTGTGTCTCCAACAGTAATATTAATCGAAAACAAAAAAAGGTAATTTTGTTTATTGATCACCAACGATCGTTGCCTAAGCCCTAATAGCTGTAAAATAGTAAATAGTTAGTTATACTATACCGTCTATACCTACAGGCTATCTATAAAATTCAATAAACATTATCAGTTTTCGTAATATTATGTTTTTGATGTGTAACGCTAGCCCAAGTCCTTTCCATGAAAAACATACCCGAACAACTATTATTTCTGTCAATAGAAAAAATATATTTAATTCTTATAAACTATTAAGGTGTATACATATATTTTCCAGAAATGTAAATTATTATAGTCTCTCACAACCAAATTTTCGAGAAGTTTAGGATCATAATATTGGTATTCATCACATTGAAGACAATATATTATTGCCTCTCATCTTTCCAGGGGCCGAGACACAGATTATACACAATAAACTTGATATAATTTTCTAAATATTTTGACTTTTTTTTAGATATTTTTAGTCATTTACAGTTTCAATTTATTTTAGTTTTTTTTTTCTATAAATTCCCATACAAAATATCTTATAATAGGTTGAAAATGTAATACAAAGTTCCCCATAAGTAGGTAACTCATAATTTATACTGTTACCAAAATATCTAGAAAACATTTTAATAGTTTATTAATTTAACGATGTGTAAATTAGTCGTGTCTATTAAATTTTAACAAATAACTATCACCAGTGTTTATCTTGTAATGTTCTCATACGAATTGATGTGTCACACCATTTTTGACGCCTTGATCCATGTTTTTAATTTATATAATATAGAATAAATAAAATCAAAATTATCTGTGATAATAGCTGGTATTATATAAATAAATATGTATATTAAATAGTTGTATGAGTTATAAATAAAAATAAAAGTACAAAAATACATGATCAATATTATGGCTAAAACCAATTAATTTTTGATTCTGTTGAATTGTTAAAATCAAAATGCTATGAGGTATGCAACATGCTTATTAACATACACACAAAGCATACATTGTGTACAAAGAATTGTATTGTGTGTTTTTAATATATATACTCAATAAATCCACGGTATCCATGAAAACCATGATTTATTATTATCTTCTATTTTATTTATTTCCTGTTCTTTTTCTTCTTCATCTTTAGTTTCTTCCTAAGAAATTACAATACAAAAATAATTGATTAATAACCTATAACCTATATTGTTTTACCTTTAAAATGTTATAGTTATTAAGGCTGTTATATAGTATGAGGTGTGTCGTCATACTATATGACAACCGTTTTTCATACAAGTGAAACTATTTTAAACATCAATTGCAATAAAATAGAAATATAGTTTTATATAATAATTTTACCTTTAATATTCTTTGATTCTCTCGGAATGCCTTTATAGGATCATCATATTGTTTATATTCGTTCAAAATCTCTCTTACATCTTTTTCTTCATTTGAAAATACCACTAAAGTTATACAGAAATAATTATTGTTTAATTGTAAGACAATTTATATGAATCTTAAATTAAAAGAATGTTTTATTTATTTTTCCTAACCTGGAAAAAAACTTTAAGGAATAATCAAACCTTTTAAGAAGTCTGCAAGGTCAATAAGCGAGTTGTCATTTTCATCACCATTCCATCTAGGAATAATAAGAGTGTTATAAGGATGAAGTTGTGTCCAACTTGTATTCCAATCTATTACAATGACTTTTGATAAATCACGATTAATTCTTTCAATATTTTTTACTAATTGACCATTTCGAAATTCAGTACATTGGCGTGATAAGCGATATTGAATCCAACCTTTAGGATCAATTTCATCTAATATTGGAGAAGCAATCTTTAATAACAAAAAAAAATATTTTAATAAGTCCAACTGAAATACATTAATTTAAAAACTAACATACATAACCATTTTCAGCTGTGTAAACAACTACTTCAAACTTTTTTCCAACTCTTTCCAAAAAATAATCAACATTTGGCCTCTTTTTAAACCTCCAACCTGTACTGTACTGAAAATGTTTAAATTTACAATTAAAAAATATACAGCATAATACAGTATTATTATCTTACGCTCCACTCTGGATGTACTAGAAGATCGGTAATCTCTAACACAAGTGTATAATGAGGTTTATCATAATAATCTGGTAATGAATCAGGTAATAATTTTTTGGTAGCAGGAATTGTAAACATCTAAGTAACATAATATACATTTAAATAAAATCAAAATTATTATCAAGGAATTTAATGAACTTGTAATCAATATATTTATAAATTACTAGTAATATATTATAATCAATGCTATAATTTGTAATAAAACCTAAAAATATAACATACCTTATGATAAAATTCTATTCTAAAACATATCCGTTCATAGATTTTAATAACGAGTGGAATGTTTTTGTTTCCTTTTTGAACTAATTCGTCATCTTCAAACACTATGATTTTAGTAAAAATAAACAATATATTGTTTGAGTCATTAGGTTTTTGAAATAAATATGTCTATTTTAAAATTGACCTAACAATTAAGATTTATTTTTAATAAGAACTAATTGTAAATCATTAAAATTCATTAAAAACTGATGGTAGAACACTAGAATTAAAATTGTGCTACCAGATTCTGTTTTTAAATATCATGAGTGTTAATAGATGCCTCCGAATTCTAATGGCACACAGTAATTATTTCACATGAATAGAGTAAAAAAAATAAGACCAAAATCAATTTAATAGAATAAAATTCAGATGTTGGCAGGGGGTAAGGTAGCTTAGGAATGCACAACATTTATGTTATAAATAGATATATGAGTTAGGTTGAAGCATATAGTATTACACTATGGGTTGAAGGCTGCTTAATTTTAATTTTTAACAAGAGGTAAACATTTCAAACCTCCTCAATACATACAAACACGTTCAATTATAACATTTTGGAATTTTTTTATGAAATCAAAACTAATTTTTTATAAATATTAACTAAAAATTACCATTAATATTATTTTATATTTTTATTATCAAAATATATTCAATTTTTAATGTTAAAAACAAGTACATGTTAAAAAAATAATTAGAAAAAATATACAACCTAGTGAATATCCTCCAAATGCTATTAATGATACACCAAAAGCCATGGAAACAATTTTAGAAGATTTTATTAGGAGCTGTCTTAAACGGCTTTTTTCAGTTCTAACAGAACCATTAGAAACTGATCGTTGCAAAATGACACGTTGATACTTGGACCAAATATCTGAATAACAATTAATTTCATTATTATTTATTTATTAGAATTATATTATTTTTACTTAATAATAACTTACAGTTTGAAGACAAACATGTGTTTTGATAACACTTTGAATTTAAAGTAAGTATATTAAATAATTTATTATTACAAGCACAAGTATTCATTTTATTTAGAAATTGTTTCCTAATTTTTATTCAACATTATAATAAATCATGACATTCATGAAAATAATCCACTAATAATTATAATATGTATCATCATAGTGAATTTTTAATTTGTTTGGAATGAAGTACGAGTAATGTACTAAGTACAATGTACTAAATGTAATTATTTTAAAGACAAGAATTTAATTATTAAAAAAAAATTGTCAGTATGAATGTATAAAACTTTAATATTTTAAAATATAAATGTAGTATTTATAGTATTTTTAATTAATAATTTTAATAATATTAATTATTAATATTATTTGTTATAATTAATTTTTCTAATACCAAAATTTTGTAATATTACAATTAATGAATCCACTATTCCACTTTAATCTATGATTATGTTATCAATTTAAATGTCCCATATGGATGGTACGAGGTTTATGTTCAGGGTTCAAAAAAATGGTTTTAACCACTAAAAAATATCACGATACGAAGATATGGATATTTGATAATATCATCAAATAAAATTCAAATTACACTTATTAGTTTTCACTTTTCAGGTGCACGTGTTTAATGCTTAAAATGTTATTTTTGATCAATTAAAAAATTGTTAATTATGAATTTTCAAAATTTAAATTTATCAAAATACTTATGCGATCAGCTTCAAGCAGTTGGTGAGTACCTCTTTTCATGCTCTACATATTATAAATTAGTTATCTTTTAGTACTTATTGCAAATTATTAATGTATTTAGGTCTTTTAACATAAATATGTATTATTGTATTATATTTTATTCTGTATAATAACAGGCGTTAAATCACCAACCGAAATTCAAAAAAATTGTATACCAAAAATATTGGATGGAATTGACTGCATAGGTTGTGCTAAGACTGGAAGTGGTAAAACCTTAGCTTTTGCCTTGCCTATTCTTCAAAAACTTTGGGAAGAGCCTTATGGAATATTTGCTCTTATTCTTACACCTACTAGAGAACTAGCTTTTCAAGTAAATTAATTTTTCGTTTTTTAGTCACATTAATTCTAGGTACACACATTCTGTATTCAATAATGTATTCGTTCAATATTATAGATTGCAGATCAATTTGCTGTGATTGGTAAACCCAAGAATCTCAGACATTGTGTATTTACAGGTGGAATGGAAATGATAGTTCAAGCGCGGGAATTATCAAATAAACCTCATATAGTGGTTGCAACACCTGGAAGGTATTTACATAATCTACTCGGCCCACTAGAGAACGACCGTAATTCACGCATAGCTACTGACAGTTGTGAGTGCTGCTTACTGAATTTTTTCCTACTATAGTTTCATTTCAACTGCTCGGGTGGCTTGTATACAGCAACTCACAAAAAAGTGTTAACCTCTCTTATTCTTTTTAGTGGTTATTGAATAACTTAATTAAAAAATACATTATAACATTAATGTTAGTCAAAAGCAAATAGTAAAATTGTTGTGACTGCTACCGCTTTGTATACACAAATGTAAAAGATGCTTCTAGAAGATCGTGGCCAGCTGGTATATGGAAGTGGGACTGATGCACAGATCCGGTCTTTTTACGGTCATTTTCTCTTGGGTCCTAGAGTATACATTCAATGAATAAAATACAACATTTATTTAATTTTACTATTTACTTAGACTTGCTGATCATTTAGAAAGCTGTGATACATTTTCATTGAAACGTATTCAATTTCTAGTACTAGATGAAGCAGATAGGTTATTAGGAGGCAAATTTGATAAACAAATAGCAACTATTTTTAATGCTCTGCCAAAAGAAAGACAAACTTTATTATTTAGTGCCACCATGACCGATACTCTTGAAAAAGTTAAGATGATAACAAAAAAAAATGTAAGTTAATTTAATAATAAATAAGTATTTACATATTGCATGTGTAATATTAGTTTGTATGTTACTTTGTATTATACGTTTGATTGGAGTGGGTAATGATTAAGATAACTAACTAAGCAAAAAACAAATATAAATTATATAATTATTAGTCTTGTTTCTATAAAAACTCATTCAATAATTGCATCAATTAGTACTGTGTGATTTATTCCTATTTTTTAACTTAAATTTCTATCCTTGAATATTTTATTTAACTCAACAGTATGATTATATATGTGAGTGTAATAATTATTTTATTTATTTGTGTACCTATCATGTAATTTATTTTATTTTTGTACCTACTTTTTTAAAATTGTAATATTGATTTGATAACACTTTTATAAAATATTTTTAGACTTTTGTTTATGAATCAACAGCTGAGGTGAAAACAGTTGATGAACTCGAACAATTTTATGTGCTTTGTCCATATAATGTAAAGGATGGATATTTGGTAGAAATAGTCCGACAATTTCGTGAAAAAGATGAAAAGGGACTAATTATGATATTTACTGATACATGCAAGTAAGTACAAATATTTAATGCAGTTTTATTTAACATCTTCCTGATATTAACTCATGTAGAAAGTTGTGATTCTGATAAGGAACAATGGATGTATTGATTTTACAATGATTTGTTTAATTTTTTTTTGGTTGGCCTGTCATCACCTTTTAGGATGTTTGATTTTCTATACTCTATTCAAAATAAGATCATTACCTGGCTACCGAGCTGTGCTCATGGATGTGGATTTGTTCCAAATCACTGGAATGTCTTGCCAACTCGATAGTTGAAAAAATCTGGCCACCTCTGGTTAATGATCTAATTTTGAACAGAGTATACTTAAGCACGTTTTTTAATCAATAATTATTCTAACTAACAACTAAAATAAACAATAATAATCATTATTATAATAAGTAAAAGTTTACTGTGTACAGTACGTTGTTTATAAAAAAATATTTTTTATAGAAACTGTCAGTTGCTGCATATGACATTAAATGAAGTTGGATTTGACACAGTGTCACTTCATGCAATGATATCTCAACGTCAAAGATTAGCTGGACTAGCAAAATTCAAATCTCATGTTTCTAAAATTTTAATTGCTACTGATGTTGCCAGTCGTGGTCTTGATATTCCTGCAGTATCATTAGTAATAAATCATATAATTCCAAACAATGCTACTGATTATGTTCATAGAGTTGGGAGAACTGCTAGAGCAGGAAGACAAGGCCGTGCTGTATCTATTATAACCCAACATGATATAAAATTAGTAAAAGCAATTGAAGAGAAAATTAATATTCGATTAAAAGAATATGATGTTTCAGGTAAATTGTACTTTTTTTCTCCAATCAATATTTTATCTATAACTAAAACTAAATAGTAAATTGCAGAGTTTAGTGAGGTATTTTAATGATGTATTATGTATAAAAAATAAAAAAAAATAAATTATATACAAGTGAGAGTATGTTGACAGCTTATTTTGGAGAGAATAATTCTGTAGGATATACTCAAATGTTTTTTTATGTTGTATCTTGTGAATTTGTCACTCCTACTTATGTTGTTTCCACTATACAATTGTGTAACACAACAAATTTGGCTTAAGTAAAAACAATTTTCTGTTACTGGTTCAATATTAGCTTAAATTTGCCCTAATATCAAACTTAAACTAAAGCAAGTGCATTATCTGTTGGTCAATTTTTTAAGTTTTGTGAGGGTTCAATTTTTTTTTTTTAATTTGAGTATTTTACATATCATAACTCTCTTAAAAATGTGAATATCTTAAAAATGCTTCTTAGAAACACAAATAATGTCCTTACATTAACGATTGATAATTGGTTAATTCACTTTAATATCAATACAAAATTGTTCCTTCTGAACTCAAATCCAAAATGTTGACTGTTTGTAAAACTGCAGCCATAACAATTTTACATTTCATTTTTTAAATGACATAAAAAATATATTTATTCACAACTTAATATTTATTCCTCTACCTTATTGTAATTAATAATTAAGTGAACTCTTAAAAATAATTAATAATTTAATAACCCTTAAGTTTTTAATAAATCTACAGGCTTACAAATCATTTATTTAAAGTTAAACAAACAAAAAAACATAAATTGCTATATAGTACAATAACTATCTACACAAATTAGTTATAGTTGAAATATGTAATTTTAGCAGAGTGATAAATAGTAAATACGGTAGTTTTGGAGTTAGAATAAAAACAAGTAGTTTGAAATTAAAAAAAAAAAATTTAATCAATTGTCATCACTAAAGATTGGACATTGATAACCTAAATAACAAATTAAAATGTTTTTAAAAAAAAACTGTAGAAACCCCAAAACATGAACTTAAAAAATACCAAAAAAACAACTGAAAAAAATTTAATTTAAAAATAATAATTTTTATTAGAGTTATAGATATGATAGTGAGTGTTGGAGCAATTTAAAATATGAATTGTAAAATTAGTTGACAACAGTAAACATTTAAATTTTAAATTTTAATTTATAGTAAAAAAAAAGTAACATGAAATTAAAAGTAAATTAGAAAAAAAAAATATTAATATTATAAAAACCTACGAATCTTTAATTTGAGAAAAATGCAATATAAAATTAGTATTTTCTGAATCAAGGGAGCATGAAACATTTTAGCTAAAATAGAATTTTATTGCATCAAAGGGAAAAAATTGCAAAATTCATCAAAATCCTATATCAAGTCATCACTAACCCCATCCTTAATATTATTTTGTATTTCTCTCGAATACCTGTTTAAAAACTATATTATTTATTTGATATAAAAGGTCTTTTAAGTCATACATATCAAATTTATGTTATTGTTAACTGTTAATTCTAAATTAATTTGTATCACTTATTTATTTTAAATGGTCAACAGTAGTGCAATTTCTAATATTTTTTTTTTATTAGCTATTAGTATATACTATGATAGCTCAACATTTACAGTTATACACGATACAACATAATACATTACATTTTAATATTATATAACAAAGCCAGCTTCCAGCAATTTATAACTATTATTTTATATTTATTATTTTATAGGATTACATGTTGCCAAGATATTGACTCAAGTACATGTTACAAAAAGAGAAGCGCAAATTAAGTTAGATGAAACTGATTTTGATGAACGACGTTTAATTAACAAAAGAAAAAAATTAATAAATGAAGGCAAAGACCCTGATAAAGTAGAACAAGAAATCAAACGGAAGAGAAAAGAAAAAAACCGGCAACGATTTGAAAGAAGAAACTTAAATTATAAAAATAGTGATGGAAATAGTGTTAATAGTGAACAAGAAAAAGATGATCATATTAATAATGTTGATAAATGTGAATAAATATAATTTATAATTACATTTTACTTTCTGTTAACCCAGGACTAAAATTGTCTGCAGTTTAATTATGCAGTAACTGTCTTCCACAAGCATAACATACCCAAATATATGTTCAGTGTTTCCAATTTTATGTTATTAGATTAAAGATTAGAGTGAATTGGCCAATTATCAAACTTATAGGGAGGAACATTATCTGTGTTCTTTGAACTTTTTTGTATTTTAATTGTTAAATGAGTTATGAGTAGAGCTATGATGTTTATGACTATAACCATACCCAAATATGATATAAATTTGATTCATGAAGATTTGATTACAAATATGGTATCTTATTTTATATATTTTTACAAATTGTTGGCATTTTTTGTTGTATTAATTATAAGTATAATATTAAAAATTGTCCATACTATCGTAAATTGTGTTATGAGGTAGACCTGTAGAACATTTTGAGATTAGATACTTATAAAAGCATACTGTTGGATTGTTGAAGTCATTCAATTTTTTTTCATATTAATAGCTGCGTAATTTGTAATAATGTTATTTAAATTACACATTGAAGTGTATACTAGTGATGGGCAAAACCGACCAATGACTAACGACTTAGTCAGTAGTAAGCAATAAATAAATAAGTCGGTTATTGGAATAATAAATCAACTAATGAATGAATAAAATAAATCATCATCTATCTTATAAAAGTAAATAATTACAAAATGACTATATTGATAATTATATTATAGCCAACTGGTTACCAAAATAAACTTTAAATGATATTAAAACAACTCATGAAAAACTATGTAATACATTTTCAAGCTTCTCGACCCAGTGAAAACATTTTTGATCGACATATTAAGAAAAAAAAATAACAAAAATCGAAAATTTTCCTTGACTCAACACATGTATAAAAACGACTATCTTAATATGTTTTTTAGATTTTTTTGTTATATTGTCAATTACTTCCAAAAGAGCCTTGTTTTAACTTTTCAATTCTTGGCTTTAAAAATTGAACTTTTTATAAATTGTAAAGTACAAAATAATTTGCACATTTTCGAGAATTTGATGAATTTCGTCAAATTTTGAACTTTAAATTGTTATGAAAAAAAGTGCAGTATTTTTATACTGCTTTTAGAACAATTTTCGAGGAACTTTGTATTAAATTTTCAAGTGTTTTGACTGTACGAAAAATATACACTGTATACCTATATATATTTCTGAAATTTTTAAATGCATATTTTGTTGAAATTTTAGTTATTATCTCTAGTTATGAGTATGTAAAATATTAATATATAAAAATGCTTATAATTCACTTGAAAATTAAAATATCCTAAAAAATCAACGAAAGAAAGCAGATAAAAAAAAAAAATATATTCTTACAGTTAAGTTTGATAATAGTTTAGTACCA